AGATTCCCAGGTTAACAGTTTACACATTTGTTTTATTATTCTTGGTCTCCATGTGTACGTATTCATACCTTGTAAGCATTTGAAAGTAAGATGCAATTATGCTGTATCATTTACCCTTAGTACTTTAGCCCATTTTTCCTAAAAATTGGGACATTCTTCCCTATAACCACAGGTCAACCATCAGTTAACACTGATACACTATTGCCATCTAATCTACATTTGAGATTTGCCAGTTGTCCCATTATATTTTTATAAGTCCAGGATCAAATTCAGAATAATGTTTTTCATTTAGTTGTGACATCTCTTTGATCTCCTTCAATTTGGACCAGTTCTTTAGTCTTTCCTTGACTTTTCTGACCTTGACCTTTTTGAATATTATAGGCCAGTCTCTCACTGTTTGGTTTTGCCTGATGTTTCTTTCTTTCATTTTATTTATTTATTTTTGACAGAGAAAACACAAGTGGAGGAGAGTTAGAGAGGGAGGGGAGAGAGAGAGAGAGAGAGAGAGAGAAATTCCAAGCAGGCTCCACAATGTCCGTGTAGAGCCCAACTGAGGGTTCATATTCACCAACCGTGAGATCATGGCCTGAGCCAATACCAAGAGTGATCTGACTGAGTCCCTGCCTGATGTTTCTTTATGATTAGGTTCAGGTCATGTGTTATTGGCAGAAATATTCTAGAAGTGATCCTGTGATCTTAGTGCATCATATCAGGAGGCATGTGCTCCCAATTTGTCCCATAGATACTGATGTAATTTAATTATTATCACTTGGTTAAGATGGTGTCTGTTTAAAAAAGGTGCTATCTGTCAGATTTCTCCAATGTAAAGATAATAAGTAGTTTTTACTTACTGATAAACAATTTTATTTTAGTTGATTTTTATTCTACTCATTTTATTCTACTAAAAGGTAGGCTTTCCCCTTCTATCCATTCATTTGTTCAGTCATTCATTCATTTGCTATATCACAACTGAGTGTGAAGTGTGAAAGGAACATGGATGGTGCCTGAGCTGTGCAGTATGATGCTCTGGGGACAAGGCTGGGGCAGCCTCACAGATGAGTTGCACATCCCGCCTTTGAATAACTACAGATGGTTATGCCCACTGCCTAGGGAGGGAAACCAAGAGGGAAACAGGAGGAGGAGCAGGTTCAGAGAAGTGGCAGTGAGACAGTGATGTTGACTAACCAAGTAGAATGTCTAAACCACTGAAAAACACTTCCTCTGCTACACTCCAGTATCTGACTGGCTCATGGATTCAACATTCAAACCTCTCCCTGATCTGTGGCCTCTCTACCTCAACAAAGCTCCCTCCCAGTTTTTAGCCCAGGCCTGTCCATTGTTCAAAGTTTCATAATGATTTTTCTTTTTAAAAAAACTTTTGAAGCTTATTTATTTTGAAAGAGAGAGCACACACATGTAAGCAAGAATAGGGGAGGGGCAGAGAGAGAGGGAGAGAGAGAATCCCAAGCAGGTTCCATGCTGTCAGCACAGAGCCCAAAGTGGGGCTCAATCCCAAAAATCATGAGATCACAACTTGAGCCAAAATTGAGTCACTTAACCAACTGAGCCACCAAGATGCCCCAAGAATAATTTTTCTTTTTTATTATTTTCATAGGAATATTTTATTTTTTTATAGTTATTGTCACGTTGGTTTCCATATAACACTCACTGTGCTCATCCCAACAAGTGCCCTCCTCCAAGCCCATCACCCATTTTCCCCTCTCCTCCACCCCCATTATCCCTCAGTTTGTTCTCTGTATTTAAGAGTCTCTTATGGTTTGCCTCCCTCCCTCTCCTTAACTATTTTTTTCCCCTTCCCCTCCCCTATGGTCCTCTGTTAAGTTTCTCTGGCTCCACATATGAGTGAAAACATATGGTCTGTGTCTTTCTCTGCCTGACTTATTTGACTTAGCATAACACCCTCGAGTTCCATCCACATTGCTACAAATGGCCATATTTCATTCTTTCTCATTGCCATGTAGTAAGAATTTTTCTAAAACACAAGTCCAATTATGGCATTTCACCATTTAGATCACCTGAACAGTTTTCCATCCGTGTAGTTTTCTACCCTACAAAGTCCAAGCTCTTGAGAAGGCAAACGAGGTTTTTCATGTTGGCCCCTTGGGCCCCTTGCAGGCTTCTCTCCTGTTGCCCCCTTGTATCGCTCCCATCATCACCACCTTGGCACAGTGCTGCTTGACGCTTCTGTGCCTGCGTGCCCTGGGAACAGCTGCTCCCTCAGCTGTTTCTTCTCTTACTCATTCTTCAAACCTCCTCTGAGAAAAGACCTCCCTTCGGTCAAGTGAGGTACTTTCTCCTCTGTGCTCCCAGGGTACACTGCATTTGCCGTGAAGATGAAGCCACACTGGTCTCCTCTCCCAGCGCCTGAGCCCCATGGTTTCCCTTTTGCAGTCGCTCCATCAGGGACCAGACTTGGACACACAGTTGCTGTTCAGTAAATGTGGTGGTGTGATGTGTACCCACCCTGGGGACAGATGGTTACAAAGGCCTGGAGCCCCCTGCTTTGATCCTGACGATGTTTTGACCTAACTTCCTCCCCCCAGTTTTTATTTTGAAAAAAATTTCAAACTTACAGAGGAGTTGCAAAAAGAGTACAGGGAACCCTCAAATACTCTTGGCCAAGAGTCACAGGTTGTCAGCATTTTGCCACACCTGTTTATTTTTTCTGTGAATCAACTGAGTTCATTGCAGTCATCACAACACTTTCCCCCCTAAATAGTTAGCACTTCTCTCCAAAGAACAAGAATGTTTTCCTTTCTAACCAAAATTCAGTGCTCAGAAAATTTAGCATTGACCCAATGTTATTCAATAAGCAGTCTGAAATGCAACTTAAATGCAAATTAAATTTCCCCAATGTTGTCAATTTAAACTGTTTTGGATTCAGGAGCTCTAGGATTGTGCATTGCACTTGGTTGTCACATTTCTTTAGTCTTTTTTTTTTTTTTTTAACATTATTTATTCATTAGAGAGAGAGCAAGTGGGAGAGAGGCAGAGAGAGAATCTGAATCAGACTCCAGGCTCTGAGCTGTCAGTACAGAGCCTGATAGGGGGCTTGAACCCACAAGCCATGAGATCATGACCTGAGCTAAAGCCAGACACATAACTGACTGAGCCACTGACGTGGCTTTTTTTTTTGTGTGTGTGTAAATAGTCTCCACACCCAACGTGAGGCTCAAACTCACCACCCTAAGATTAAGAGTTGGATGCTCTGAACTGAGCCACAGCCTGCACCCCTCTTTAGTCTTCTTTTGACATTCATGAAATGTTTATTTGCAGAGTCCAGACCAGCCTCGTCTTGCAGAATTTCCCTCAACTTGAGCTTTGCTGACTGTTTCTGCATGATTTGATTCAGATTAAGCACTTTGGGCAGGAATACTGCATAGGTGATGGTATATCCATGTTTATTTGCTCCGCTATTGGTGATTCTGAGTTTGATCATTTGGTTAACATGGTTAGCCTCCAGTTTTCTGTTTTTTTTTTTTATGCTTTGTTTTTTATGCTTTGAGAAGTAGGATTTAGAGCAGTGACTTCTCTCCCTAAGAAATGGAAAAGAACTTTATTTTTTTTTTTATCTGTAATTGTCAAGTTGGCTAATGTACAGAGTATAGAGTGCTCTTGGTTTTGGAGGTAGATTCCTGTGATTCATCGCTTACATCCAGTTTTCTCCTTTGTAAAGATCACTTTTCCCTTTTGTGGTTAAGAGGCAAACTGTGTGAGTTTGTGTGTGTGTGTGTGTATGAAGCACCTCAGACTGTGTGAATATGCTCTTCTCCAACAGCCTTTTACTCACTGATTCATTGATTTTATTGTGTGTGTGTCTGTGTGGTAAAATACATGTAACAAAATTTACCATCTTCACCATTCGGTGTACAGTTCAGTGGTATTGAAAACATAATGTGCAATCATCATCACTGTCCATTTCCAGGACTCTCTTTATCTTGTAAAACTGAGACTCTACACCCATTAAACAATAACTCCCATGCTGCCCCCTCTCTCCCCCTGCCCCAGCCCCTTGCAACCACTATTCTCTCTCTGTGAATCTGGCTACTCTAAACAGTTCAGATAAGTGGAATCATGCAGAGAGAGACAGACAGAATCTGAAACAGGCTCCAGGCTCTGAGCTGGCAGTCAGCAGAGAGCCTAACACGGGGGTGGAACCCACGAAACGTGAGATCATGACCTGAGCTGAAGTCGGAGGCTTACCTGACTGAGCCACCCAGGCGCCTCTCCATTTCATTTTAATTGAGTCACTTCCATTGGGATAAATTCTTTTTGTATAAATATTACAAAATATTTTCACATAAAATTTTAATAATTATAGCCTCTGCCTTTGTGTGTTTCCTGGTACCTCTTGTTTCCCCCCAGGTTACACTGATACAGATCTAAATGCGCTTGCAATCACATTCTTTGGTCATCAATGAAGGATTATTACGTGCATAAAAATGTAAACATTCCTGAAGTAACTCATAATTTGGGAGCTTGTGCTGTTTGTGCAGGTGTTGGAAAGAAGTGAGAACCAGAGTGAACTAACTGCAGGAACAGAATATGATTACGGAGTGAAAAGCGCGCGCACGGCACCGACCACAGCGCACCATGCGCGCGCTCCAATTTAGAGCGTGTCGCACAGCCAGCACAGCGGTCAAGTGCTCCGGGCGCATCCTTCAGGACCAGGTTCGCCGAATACAGTTAGCACGGCCGCTGATAGCCTGCCAGCTGCATCCCCAATACCTCTCTCAGGTGTCCCTTACCGCCCCGGTTTCTTGCACTGAAAATAAATCACTGCCATAATAATAAAGAATCCTTAAACGGCGTCTCGGAGTTTCGCAGGCGGCGAGCCCCGCAGCGGGCCGACGACTCCCGGATCGCGCCCCTCCCCAGCCTTACGCCTTGGACGCCTTTTCCGCATCACCCCTGCCTCCCAGGCCGCGCGGCCCCGCCCCGCCTTCGCGGCCTCCCCGCCCCTACACCCTACTGCACCGCGCGTCGCGGCCTCCTGGATCCCAGGCGGGAGGGGGGGCTCTGGCTCACTCGGCGCCCCGCAGCGGGGCGGGGCGGCGCGCAGGAGGCGGGATTTTCTGGCACTTTCTGGGCGCCGCGAACGCTCGGATCCCGGGCTTGGAGGCCGGAAGCGCAGCTACGGAGCCGCAGGGCAGCCGGCGCCGAGGCCCTTCCTTATTCTCTGCGGAGGCCGCTCCGCCAGCACAGACATGGCCAAGTGGGCCCAGGGGGACCCGCGCTGGATCGTGGAGGAGCGGGAGGACGGGACCAACGTGAACAACTGGCACTGGTGCGGCCGGGGCTTTTGGGCCTTCTCCTCCGGAGCGGCGGGCGGGGTGGTGGGGTCCCTCTGCGAGCACCCGGCTCCCGGTGCCCTGCGGGGGGTGGCGTGGTCGGGCTGCTCCAGGGCCTCTCCGGCGGCAGCGCTTCCTCCGTGGGGCGGGGCCTGCACAGGTGCAGAAGATTTCCCCCGGCCCCCGCAGCTGCTCAGAGAGCGGCTGTAATAGCCCCCGGTGAGTCCGGAAGCCCGGGGGTTTCTCTCCATTTGCCTTTGGGACTTCAGTTTCCTCCTTGTGAAACTTAGTTTGGGCCCCACGAATGGTATCTGATTTACCTTTTCAACTTTGACAGGCTGTGACCTTAAGACTCCTCTCTACCCCCAACCCTCTTGATGTCTCTAGAAGTTAAAAAGAGCTAGAGTGTGCGTGTGTGTGTATGTGCGCGCGCGCCTGTTGGCCTGCGTGTAGTGGAAAGAACAGGAGTTTGGATCTTAGCTGTAGATCTAACTCGATTGGCCCCTGGTGAGCCCTGCCTTTTAGGAGTTTGAGCAGTTGCACATCCATTTTGGACGTCATCTGGAACACGGGCTTGATATCTGCCTCCTTCTCTGCCCCGGAGTTTCAGGGGCGATGCAGCATCATTGAGGACTGTGGTACCTCAGGGCAATCAAGATGATGTTGAGGCAGGTCAGGGCAGAGTAAAGCCGTCAGCCTGTGAGCGGCTTATTGAGGGAGCCCTGGCCTCTCCTTTCCCAGCACCGTCACCATGACACATCATGTACTTCTCTCACCTCGTTTCCACTCCCTAAAATAGGAACATTTATTTGGGAAGATTGCATGAGATGATATATGTGTGAAAATATTTGATCATTTGTCTTGTTTGATTAAAATTATTTCAGTTAGGACTACCTTTTTGTATGGTCCAGGCTTTGCCCATACGTTTCCAATGGGTGAGATGGCTAGACTCCCTACCCCCCGCCCCCCCAAGTAAGCTAGTGTTTTGAAGACAAAATACTACTTTACATGGTGGATAATGGTATCTTAAGGAACTGAGCAGGGGTATGAAAAGATATTTGGTAGAAATCTGAGTTGCGAAGCACGCTTGGAACTTTGAGGTCGGCAGGTGTTTCAAGGCTGCCTGAGAGGAAGTGGGCTGAAGTCACTGCCCTGATGCCCCAGCTGGGGTCTTCCATTCATGGCTCTGCCTTTCTCCCTGGCGGGACAGAGCGGGATGCCACTAGCTGGTCCAAGGGAAAACTCCGTGACCTCCTGGTGGGCATCATCGTGGAGAATGAGACTGGACGCGGTGAGATCAGTGAGCTGAAGCAGGTGGAAGGGGAGGCTTCTTGCAGCAGCCGCAAAGGAAAGCTGATTTTCTTCTATGAGTGGAACATCAGACTGAGCTGGAAAGGTAACGGGGCTCAGGGGACAGCTAGGGCTGGAGGCGGCCTTGGGGCAGAGTTGGTTCATTTATCATTCATTCATTCATTCATTCAGCAGATATTTTTAGAACTCCTGGTATGGGCCTGGCACTTACTGGCCCCTGAATTGCTTTGTAGTTCCAGTTACCCTTCTGTCATGTCCGACAAGCTGGGGGCTTCCCTTTATCCCATCACACAGCTACTTAGAGCTCTTTGATTGCAGCTGAATTCTTGTCTGCTAGACACTTGCGAGCCGTAGAGTTTTCTGGAGCTGTTGAAACACTCTTCTGCTAGACAGCTGCATGCGGACTCTTTTGGGTCCTTCCGGTCCTTCTCCTGAGTGAAGCCACCTATCTCTATCCTACAAAAATCGTAGGTCCCTTCCTTGTACTTTCTCCCTACCCGCTTTATTCCCCTCCCAAACACCATTATTTGGTTTCCTTATATGACTATTTAAGCATTTTATTTATCTGGTTCCCTTCCAATCCCCATTCATCAGGGCAGGGATTTTTAAAATACTCAGCTTTACTGAGTCTGATTCACACACCATATAGATCATCCATGTAAAGTATATAGTTCACTGGTTTCTAGCATATTCACAGATGGTGTGCAGCCGTCACTACAGTTGATTTTAGAACATTTTCATCACGCACAAAAACCCCTGTACTCACTAGCAGTCACTTCCCAGTGTTGGGCAACCACTAATCTGTTTTCTATCTCAGTGGATTTGCCTATTCTGGACACTTCTATGAATGAAATCCCAGAGAATGTGGTCTTTTGTGACTGGCCCCTTTTTTTATTTTTTATTTTTTTGTTTTAATGCCAGTATATTTCAGTTAGTTTCAGAGGTACAATATACGGATTCAACAATTGTATATATATTATTATTATTCATCATGATAAGTGTACTCCAAATCCCCTTCACCTGTTTCACCCACCCCCAACCCCTCCCCTCTGGTAACCATCAGTTTATTTTCTATAGTTAAGAGTCTGTTGTTTGGTTTGTTTGTTTTTTTTCCCTTTGTTCATTTGTTTTGTTTCTTAAATTCTGCATATGAGTGAAATCATATGGTATCTATTCTTTGACTTACTGAATGTTGTTAGATGGATCTCGAGATCCATCCATGTTGCAAAGTGCAAGATTTCATTCTTTTTTATGGCTGAGTGATATTCCATTGTATATGTATACCTCCTCCTCTTTATCCATTCATCTGTTGATGGACATTTGGGCTGCTTCCATAATTTGGCTATTCTAAATGATGGTAATAGATATAGGGCTGCATATCCTTTCGAATTAGTGTTTTCATTTTCTTTGGGTACATACCCAGTAATGTGATTTCTGGGTCATAGGGTAGTTTTATTTTTAATTTGTTGAGGAACCTTCACACTGTTTTCCACAGTAGCTACACCAGTTTGCATTCCCACCAACAGTGCAGGAGGGTCCCTATTTCGCCACATCCTCACCAATACATCTTGTTTCTCCTGTTTTTGCTATTTTTAAAAAATATTTAAGTAATCTCTACACCCAAAGTGGGGCTCAAACTCATGACCCAAGATCAGGAGTCCCCCACCCTCCTGACTGAGGCAGCCCAGCGCCCTGTTTCTTGTATTTTTTAATTTTAGCCACTTTGATAGATGTGAGGTGATCTCTCATTTTGGTTCTGATTTGCAGTTCCCTGATAATTAGTGATGTTGAGCATCTTTTCATGTGTCTGTTGGCCATCCGTATGTCTTCTTTGGAGAAATGTCTGTTCATGTCTTTTGTCTGCTTTTAAATTGGATTATTTATTTTTTTGGTGTTGTTATAAAAGATTTTTATTTTTTGAAAAATATTTTTTTAGTAAGCTCTGCATCCAGTGTGGCACTCAAACTCACAACCCCAAAATGAAAAATCACAGGCTGTATTGACTGAGCCAGCCAGACACTCCTGTAGAAGTTCTTTGTATATTTTGGATACTAAAACCCTTTATTGGATATATCATTTGCAAATCTTCTCCCATTCAGTAGGTTTTTAGTTTTGTTGATTGTTTCCTTTGCTGTGCAGAAGCTTTTTATTTTGATGTAATCCCAGAGTTTATTTTTGCTTTTATTTTCCTCGCCACAGGAGACATATCTAGAAAAGTGTTGCTGTGGCCAGTGTCAGAGAAATTACTGCTTGTGCTCTTCTGGGAATTTTATGATTTTTGGGTCACACATGGAGGTGACTGGCTTCTTTCACTTAGCATAATGTTTTCAAGGCTTGTCGTGTTGTAGCATGTTTCATTCCTTTTTATGCTTGAATGGTACTCTCTTGTACAGATATGGCACATTTTGTTTATTTGTTCATCAGTTATGAACATTTGTGTTGGTGTCATTCTGTAGGTCATTTGGTCAGGGATGGATTGGTTTTGTTTCCAGCCCCAGATCACTGTCCAGAACGTTGTGTGTTTGTTGAAAGAGTAAGTTTCTCCTGTGGTGTTCCTGGCTGAGAGACCGTCTGGGCTCAGTGAATACTTGTTGAAATAATCATGGATATGAAGATAAAGGGAAAGGAAGAGGAGGGGAGAGGGAAAGATCTAGTTCTAGAAAATTGTACTCAGAGTTTGGGCCTCTGCCCAGGAGTCAGCTCCTTTCTTAAGAGTTGGGTTAGAGAGTCCCACGGTAAGCTGGCCCTGGGCTTTTGCCCTGCTGGCCACTTTGCTAGAGCCGGGCTTGAGCCCGGGAAGGTGCTCTACAAGTGTCAGAAGTCGTCCACTCCCTCCTGGGACTTTCTGGCTAGAGGTTTTCTCTCTCATTGTCTATGGCTGGCTGGACATAGCAGGATCTGGCCCCTTACACCCCACCCCACCCCTGGCACAGGACTCTAGTGTCCCAGGGAAGCTCGTGGTCTTGTGTCTCTTCTGTCTCCCTCATGTCAAAGCGGCAACTGCCTCCTTTGTGGCATGAGACTCAACCACTCCAAGGCTGCAGCCGAAGGGCAGGCTGAGGGTGCCCCGCTCTGACCCCTTGTGCTTTTCTCCTCAGCAGTGAGCCCCAGAAGTGGCAAGTGAGACCCTCTGGTCAAGAGTCAAAACTCTGGTCTTTTTTTTTCTTTTTAAAATTAAACTTTAATTTTTTCCCACCTTAACTGAGACACAGTTGACTTACAACATTGTATAAGGCTAAGGTATATGGTCTGATGGTATCTATCATTTGTGTATATATATACACACAAATTGTGATATATATATATATAAATGATCACAATAAGGTTAGTTAACACATACCTCGTATAGGTAAAATTTTGTGTGTGTGTGTGTATGTTGAAAACTTTCCAGATTTATTTTCATTAGCAACTTTCAAATATACAATATGGTATTGTTAACTGTAGTTATCAGGCTGTGCATCGCATCCTCAGAACTTCTTCCTGTAACTGGGAGTTTGGACCCTCTGTTTCCTCTGACCACCTTCAAGACCACTGGCTCCCTGCAACCACCAATCTACTCTCTGCTTTTAGGAGTCTGGTTTTTTAGATTTCACATATAAATGAGCTCATATAATTTTTGTCTTTGACTTTTTTCACTTAGCATAATGCCCACAGGGTCTGTCCATGTTGTTTGAAATGGCAGGATTTCTTTCTTTTTTTTTTTTAATAGCTGAATAATATGTGTGTGTGTGTGTGTGTGTGTGTGTGTATAACACCACATTTTCTTTATCCATTTATCCATCAGGGGATAACTTAGGTTGTTTCCATGTGTCAGCAACTATAAATAGTACTGTAGTCAACATGGAGGTGCAGATGTCTCTTAGTGATTTTATTTCCTTTGGATATAAGTAAAACCTTGGATTGTGAGTAACGTTTTGTGAGCATTCTGCAAGATGAGCAAACATTTCTAATAAATTTTAACATGATAAACGAGTAACATCTTGCAGTGTGAGTAGTAGGTGATGCCAAATGTCACATGGTCACAACTCATGACAGCTGAGCCCACGACAAGCACAACTTGAAATTCGCTTTGATATATAAATGCTTTGAATTACAAGCATGTTTCTGGAACGAATTATGGTTGCAAACCAAGGTTTTACTGGTATACCCAGAAGTGGGATTGCTGGATCATATGGTGCTTCTGGTTTCAATTTTCTGAGGAACCTCCATCCACTTTTCACAGTGGCTGCATCAATTTGTAGTCCTACTGACAGCACGCAAGTGTTCCCTATTGTCCACATCCTCACCAACACTTGTTATCTCTTTCTGAGCCTAGTCTTTCCAGCACATATACGGCGATACATGATTGTGATTTTTTGTTTTTTAAACTTAAATTTTTTTTAATTTTTGAGAGAGAGAGAGAGAATGAATGAATGAATGAATGAATGAATGAATGAATGAATCTCAAGCAGGCTCTACACCCAGTGCAGAATCCAAATGGGGACTTGATCCCATGACCCTGAGATCATGACCTGAGCCAAATCAAGAGTCAGCTGCTTTACCCATGTGCCCCCCTCATTGTGATTTTGATCTGCATTTCCCTGATGATTAGTTTGTTGAGCACCTTTTCATGTACCTGTCATCCATTTGAGTATCTCCTTTGCATAAGTGTCTATGTACATCCTTTGCCCATTTTTAATGGGATTATGTTTTTGTCAAGTTTTAAGAGTTCCTTTTGCATTTTGGATGTTAACTTCTTATCAGATAAGGTTTGCAAATATTATCTCCGTTTCTGTAGGTTGCCCTTTCAGTTTGTTAACTGATAATTTTTCTTGGCAGAAGCTTTTTTGTTTGAGGTGGTCTTACTTGTGTTGCTTTTGTTGCTTGTGCTTTTGGTTTCAGATCCAAAAAGCATTGCCAAGACCATTATCAGGGAGCTTTTCTCCTCCTTCTAGGAGTTTTATGGTTTTAGATCTTAACATTTAAGTCTTTAATTCATTTTGAATTAGTTTTTGTGAGTGGTATAAGACAGGGATCCGGTGTCAGTCTTTTGCATGTGATTATTAAGTTTTGCCAGTATCAATTATTTATTAAAAAAATTTTTTTAATGTTTATTTATTTTTGAGAGAGAGACATAGTGTGAGCAAGGGAGGGGCAGATAGAGATGGAGACACAGAATCCGAAGCAGGCTCCAGACTCCGGGCTGTCAGCACAGAGCCCGACATGAGGCTTGAACCCATGAGCCATGAGATCATGACCTGAGCTGAAGTCGGCCACTTAACCTACTGAGCCACCCAGGTTTTCCTGTCTCAAGTTATTTTTAAAATTCCTTTTTGATTTCTTTGAGCCATTGGTGACAGGAATGTTTTATTTAATTTCTGTGTATTTGTGAATTTTCAGCTTTCCTCTTGTTACTAACTTCTAGTTACATACCATTGTGGTATGAAAAGATACTTAACTGTAATTTTTATATTTTTGAATTTGTTGAGACTTGTTTTGTGTCCTAACATGATTTATCCCAGATGATGTCATGTGGATCTTTGAGAAGAATGTGTATTCTGTTGCTGTTTAATGGACTGTTCTGTTTATGTCTGTTAGTTCCATTTGGTGTATAGTGTTCAAATCTGCTGTTTCCTTATTGATTTTTTGTCTGGGAGATCTCTCCATTGTTGAGTGTGGGGCATCCAACCATTATTGTGTTGCCATTTATTTCTTATTTTAGTTCATCTATCATTGTTTGCTTTATGTATGTAGGTTCTTCAGTGTTGGGCACATAAAAATTTACAGTTGTTATATCTTTTGGATGAATTGATCCCTTTGCCATTATATAATTACCTTCTTTTTTTTTTTTTGACCACTTTTTCCTAATATTTTGCTTAACACAAGCATAGCTACTCCTTTTTATTGGTTCCCATTTGCTTGAAATATCTTTTTCACCCCCTTACTCTCACTCTCGTACTAAAGTGAGTCTCTGTGTTCAGGCAGCAGATTATTGGATGTTGTTTCCTTTATTTCTTTTTAATCCATCCATCCATTCTGTGTTTTTTGATTAGATAATTTAATCAGTTTATATATAAACTAATTATTGACAGATAACAACTCACACTTGCCATTTTGTTTTCTGCTTTGTAGATCCTATGTTTCTGGCTTCTTCTCTTGCTGTCTTCTTTGGTGATTTCATGTCTTTTTGTGGTGGTGTGCTTTGACTCCTTTATCATAATCTTTTGTGTACGTACTACAGGTTTTCCTCCAGTGATTTTCCTCTGGTGGTTACCTGAGACTTACACGAAATATCTTATATTTATAACATGCTATTTAAACTATTAACAACTTTGATAGCATACAAAAATTTATGCTTCTGCTTTCCTCATATTTTAGGTTCTTAATGTTACAATTTGCATGTTTTTATATTGTGTATCTAGTAACAAGTTATTTGTAGTTAGGGCCATTTTTAATATGTTCAGCTCTTTTAAAGTAGAGTTGTAAATGAATTATGCAACACCATTACAATAGTAGATGATCTAACTTTGACCATATATTTACTGTTACCAGTGAGTTTTACACATTCTTATGTTTAAAAAAATTTTTTTAATGTTTGTTTATTTTTGAGAGAGAGCATGAGTGGGGGAGGGGCAGAGAGAGAGGGAGACACAGAATCTGAAGGAGGCTCCAGGCTCTGAGGTGTCAGCACACAGCCTAATATAGGGCTTGACCTCGAGATTGTGACCTGAAGTCCAATGCTTATTGGCCAACTGAGCCACCCAGGCGCCCCTCACATTCTTATGTTTTTATGATGCTAATTTCAAATGACCTTTCTTCTAGTTCACTAGTTCTTTCTTCCGCTTGGTCAATTGAGCTGTTGAAGCTTTCTGTGTAGTTCTTTAGTCATTGTATTCTTCAGCTCTGGGATTCTGTTTTGTTTCTTTGTAGTACTTCTCATTTTGCTCATGTATTGTTCTCCTAATTTTATTTAGTTGTCTGTGGGTCCTTCTAGTTAACTAAACTTAAGGTTTGAAAAAAAAAACATTTTGAAAAATGTATTTATTTCTCATAGAGACAGTGTGAGCAGAGGAGTCAGAGAGAGATGGAGACACAGAATCTGAAGCAGGCTCCAGGCTCTGAGCTGTCAGCACAGAACCTGACGTGGGGTTCAAACCCACGAACCGTGAGATCATGACCTGAGCCAAAGTCAGATGCTTAACCGACTGAGCCACCCAGGCGCCCCCTTAAGTGTTTTTTTTAATTAAAAAATTTTTTAAAATTTATTTTAGAGAGAGAAAGAGTGAAAGTGGGCAAGAGAGGCAGAGGGAGAGAATCCCAAGTAGGCTTCACATGTGTAGAGCCTGACCTAGGGCTCAATCCCATGACCCTGGGGCAGTGACCTGAGCCAAAATCAAGAGTTGGACACTGAACCAACTGAGCCACCCATGCTCCCCAAGAAGTTTATTCTTTTTTTTAAAAATATTTATTTTTGAGAGAGAGAGAGAAAGTAAGGGAGGGACAGAGAGAGAGAGACACAATTTGAAACAGGCTCCAGGCTCTGAACTGTCAGCAGAGAGCCTGATGTGGGGCTTAAACCCATAAGCAGTGAGATCATGACCTGGGCTGAAGTCGGACACTCAACCGACAGAGCCACCTAGGTGCCCTAGAGGTTTATTCTGAATTGCTAATCATATAGTTTATGGATCTCTATTTCTTTAGGATGTGTTTTTGGAGCTTTATTAGTTTCCTTTGGTGGTATCTTGTTTACCTGATTCTTCATGAGCCTTAGTTCCTTGCATTGGTATCTGCACATCTAAGTGGTTTCCTTTTCCAGACTTTACCAGTTTACTTCAGTAGGTTTCCTTTTCCAGACTTTACCAGTTTGCAATCATGGTAGGCAGGATATGTTGGCAGGGTCTCTCTTTGGGTGAGGCCACTGCTCATGCTCTGAGGTTAGGGGTCAGGGCTCTACTTGCTGGGCCCTTGGTAGGGTGGGTCTGCTTATTGGGCTCTGTGTTCAATCAGGGCTGCTGGGCAGGCTTCCCAACTGGGTATAGTTGTTGGCTGTGTTACATGGTCATGTGGGGTCACTAGTTGGGCTCGATAGTTACCTCTGGTTGTGTGGGGTCACTGGATATATTTCCTGGAAAGGTAGTGCCACTGATTGGGCTGGGCTATGGGTGGGTCTCCATCATTGCTCCTGGTTGGGTGGGGTCTTAGGCTATGTATCCTGATCGGATGGTTCTGCTTGCTAGACTCTGTTCAGGTCAGGCCACAGGCAGGGCTTTGTGATTGGACGTGACCTGAGGCTCTGCCCTGTGATCAGACTGTGTCCCAGAAGTCTGCAGGGTTGGCTTTGAGATCAGGTAGCCACTGGCTGTGCTCTGCTGTTGAGCAGCATTGCTGGCTGGGCTCTCTGGTGGGGTTGGGTCTTCAGCTGTATCCTGTAGTTGGTAGGAGCTAGGGACTGTGCTGTCTCTTTGGGTAGGGTGGCTGTCTGGGCTCCCTGTGTGGACAAGGCCATAGGCCGTGTCCAGCATTTGGGCAGAGTTGTAGGCTGAGCTTCAAGGCTGCTTAGGGACACGCTTCAGGCTTCCTGCTTATATGAACCAGAGGCTATGTTGAACAGTCGGGCAGGGTGTTGGTTTGGCTTCCTGCCCAAGTGGAGCTAGAGGATGGGCTCTGTGGCTGCTCAGATTCTCTGGTCAGGCTTCCGTCAGCAGATTTGCTTCTTTGCCTGGGTGGGGTAGTAGAATGGGCTCTATGGCTGGTTTCAGCCATTTGACTAGGAATCCAAATCAGGCATAATTGCCAACCAAGCTCCCTGGCCCCATGGGGTAACGGCTCAGCCCTGCAGATGGGCAGAGTCACTGGCTGGGATCTTTGCTCCTGAACTGCTGCAAGCAGGAACGCGGTCCAACAAGATCTGAGTGCTGGTTATTGGAAGCCCTGCCCCCCCTTCATTCCCAGTGGTCCCTGTGAGCTGAGACCCAGGCGGACTTCCTGGGAAGTATCCCACAGTGCTAGGGGATCTGGATGTCCACCTTCTTCCTCACTGAAGAAACCACAGCTCTGTGTTGGCCTCAGGGAGGGGCAGTTTGATCAGTGTTATCACTTCTTACCCTTCTCATTTGGCCCTTCTTTGTCTCTGGTCCACAAGGGTGCATCTGGGATTCTCACAGCGGTGGCTTGTCTGTGGATGGCTGCTAGTTGGTCTTGTGAGGGGGAATGAAGTTGGGAGTAACTACATTGTCATCTTGATGTTGTCATTGCCATCGGCAGTTTGGTATTGAAAGAAATCCAGCTGCGTGGGGTCCACACACAACTTCCCTAAGTCACAGCCTCCCTCACGCTTTCCATGACCAGAACTTCTTGCCCCTTTCTGGCCTCCCATCTCTTATGTGAGTGCTCCTTGGGACAGCCCTTTATCCTGCTTTGATCCTGGTAAAGAATATTGGAGGAAAAGAGAAACATTGGTTAAAGGCCCACTTCCTGTAGTCTCATGCTGCCAGCTGGCCCTTAATTTTGTGTGCACTTTCATCGGGTGGGTTTTTCCTCCACCTTTGCTGTTTGCCTGTCTCTGTTGTGGGCCAGGAGAACACCTGTATACTGGGAAGCCTTGAGGCTGCCTTGTCACCATCTGTGGTGCACCTTGTGGGGAGGGCGGGCTGTTCAGTTAAGGCAGTTTCGCATAAACCAGTTGTTACTTTGCAATTGAAGAATGCATTTTGTTCATTTTAGGTGTAACTAAAGAATCCGGTGCAAAGCACAAGGGATTGATTGAAATACCCAGCCTTTCTGAAGAAAATGAAGTAGATGACACCGAGGTGAGGTATCTGATAGTTTTGGTTTGTTTGTTTGTTTTTAAGTCCAGGCTTCTGCTATATATGTTGGGCATTTGAAAACCTGTTTAACAGACTTTGTGATTCCTGTGCGGTAGTTTTGGGGTATTGTGTAGGGTTTGTTTGCCAAGAAGGTTTGCTCTACTGAGCGGGGTGGGGGACCAGTGTGGGGTGTGGAGTGGAACCGTGTAAGAAGAGGCGGCCCCAGACTGCCTCACGTACCAGGCGTGCGGCCCTGGCAGGTGACCACACCTTCCACAGCCTCTTCATCTGCAAAGTGGGACTAACTTGTCTTTCAGGGGTGGCATCAGATAAACGTGACAGTGTATGTACGGTAAAGTGCTCAGGCGGATGCACAGCTTGCTGAATGGGGTTTTGTTTCTGCATCTTTGCTGTTTTCCTTTAATTGTGAAAGTTTTCAGCCTTTAGCTGTGATTTCTTTTGATTATATTGCATGGTTTTTCATAAACTAGTCAGTCTGTGTTGCTTTTGACTGGCTCTCCTAGTTCTCCTGGGAGCTAGAGACTTGTGGAGCCCCCCAGGCTTGGTTTTCAGGGATTGCCCTCTTGAGCTGAAAGCTTGGTTCTGGGGAGGGACCATTTGTACAGCAGCCATAGTTTCCAAACCAAGATAGTTTGACAAAGGGTTTTTGATTTGTAAACATATTTAAATATGAAGGCTTACAAAGATATAAAAATTAAATCAAACTGGGGCGCCTGGGTGGCTCAGTCGGTTGGGCGGCCGACTTCGGCTCAGGTCATGATCTCATGGCTCATGGGTTCGAGCCCCGCGTTGGGCTCTGTGCTGACAGCTAGCTCAGAGCCTGGAGCCTGTTTTGGATTCTGTGTCTCTCTCTCTCTCTGACCCTCCCCTGCTCACGCTCTCTCTCTCTCAGAAATAAGAAAAAAAAAAAGTTAAAAAAAAATTAAATCATACTGAGAAACATAACCTTCGACTTGCCTTAATGGTTATAAAATGCTATATAAAAGTGTGGCTGTCTTGGGGGCCTGGGTGGCTCAGTTGGTTAAGTGTCTGACTTCAGCTCAGGTCATTTTCTCACAGTTTGTGAGTTCGAGCTCCGTGTCAGGCTGTGTGCTGACAGCTCAGAGCCTGGAGCCTGCTTCAGATTCTGTGTCTCCCCTTCTCTCTTCCCTTCTCCTGGTCTCTCTCTCGAAAAAGAAAAAAAATTGGTGGGGGGGGGCTGTCTCAGACATCTTCAGACATGTGGTTGATACCTTTAAGGACTGATTTCATTTCACTGTATTCAGATCCAGCTGAAAAGTTTTTCATCAGCATATTAAACTGGTCTTTTAGGTTCAATCCTTGGTGGCATTACAGAACAAAGTAGGTCCCAGGATCTGGGACCCTGCCCATCTCAGGTGAATCATGGGGACATGAAATATGTTAAACCAACATCTCTCTCTATTCTGAGAATACCACAGAGGCATTGCCAGAGCCAGAATGGCCTTCTGATGCTTCCCTCTTCCTATCTGCCTCCTTCTCCCCACTCTTACTGTCTCTTTTCCTCCCTCCCCCGATTCTCCTCCCTACCAAAAAAGTGCAATCCAAGGCCATGTTATGTGGGAACTAGATTTTCCTAATTACACTGGCTTTGGGGTACTAGACCAGCGCTGTTCAATAGAAAAACACAATGCAAGCCACATACGGAATTTAAAATTTTTTAGTAGCCGTATTAAAAAAGTTAAAAGAAACAAATGAAATTTTAATATTTTTATTTAACCAAATATGTAAAATACCATTTAACATTAGTTATCAAAATTATTGGGATTCTTTTACAATCTTTTTTTGTACTAAATCTTGGAAGTCTGTTGTGTGTATTGTTTTACACTTGTAACATATCTCAAATCAGACCAGCCACGTTTCAAGTGCTCAATAGCCAAATGTGGCTAGTGGCTACCATACTGGACAGCGCATTTCTAGACCCTGATAAAAGCCATGGGGTGACTATGTCATCAATACATACGCACACATATACACGCAACATTTTGTATGCAAATTAAGGGGTTGACATTTCTAAGAAGTCCACTCAAGATTTGGCCACCAACCCAGGCAGTGGACCTTGGATTAAAAAAATCCTTACAGCTTCTCAAAATCTGTGGAGAAACCTGGCACATCTCTCTCACCTCCACTTCTTCCCCTTCCCTCACCGTCTTACTGCTTCTCGCAGCCATGTGTCCTGATCTTCTAAGAGTACATCAAACCAGATTTTTCTTAGGCGTGTATTTTCCTGATTTGTAGGTGAACGTGAGTAAAAAGAAAGGAGATGGGGATATATTGAAGGATCTTATGAAAACTGCAGGCACCGCCAAGGTCAGGGAGGCCCTTGGAGATTACCTGAAGGCACTTAAGACGGCTAAAGAAGGCAACCCTTGTGAACCAGAGGGTCCCTTTTCTAGTCACCCAAGTTCTGCTCCGTACTTGGATTCCTAGGTTAGGGTGAGATCTGCGGCTTCAGAAACGACTCTTTATGCTGCAGGATAAAAACTAGTCTGGAGGTCGAGAGCTAGGCATGAGTTAAGAGCATGATTAGTGACTGTCGGCATTGTACACATTGTGGACTGTTTTGCCTACAGAATTGCTAAGACTTTTCTGGAATGATAATTTATTCAAGTTGTTTGTATAACTGTTCAATGTTTACCTTCCCTGCTAGACTGTTAAGCTCTAAGGGGGGCATGGAAGGTGTCTTGTTGACTGCTGCATCTCCAGCTTCTAGCACAATGCCTGGCACGTAGTAGGTGCTTATTAATAAATCTTTGTTGAATATTGAATGAATGAAAGGTATTACACGTATAGTTGAGATTTACCTAGATAATTCCTACACTGCGTGGAAGTGAGGTTATTGTCTTCTTCCCTAAATTAGAGAAGTTACCAGCCAGGCAAAACGACCAGTGGGGCCTGGATGTCTGCACCTCATTCTCGGACTCTGTTACCTTGGTGTCTGGGCGTTGGCACAGATTGTTTTAGGGTTGCCACTTTTCTCTGGAGAGCATGCATGTGGCTGGCTGGCCCGCAGGCTTGAACGCTGTGAGGCCGAGCGTTGTGAGGTGACGGTGAAGCAATTACGTGTCTGGCTTTGACGGTTGGAAAGGTCATAAAGCTGTCAGTAGTTTTATAAAATAGAGCTTTTTGGAAATAAACATTTGAAAATTTTACTCAAGAACTAGATAGAAATGAGGCATTTGAAAAAAGGCATACTGTTGCTGTGGAACTCATGTTGTTCATAATTAGTTTTACATGTAAAAAAATACATGGTCTTGAAACATTCATTGATCTAGGAATTTTTTGTAAGTATCAGTTTTCTTATTTTCTTATATGCTGTTTTGGATTTTCTGCCTCACTGCTGGTGCTGAAAGGGAACAAAGTTTTCTATCAAAATCATTTCCTGTATGTTTCTTTATAGAATTTACAATAGGAATGATTTTACCAACGAAAACCATGGCAACTCAGGAATTGACAGGTAAGAGGAAACCGAGTGAGAAGGCCTTGCAGGTATGAGCTGTGGTGGCCAGTGCGTACGGAGGGAAGAGGAAGTGCTTAATGAGAAGGTTTCAAGCTCTCAATGATGGAGAACTGTAAAGGCTAGTGCAGAGGGCCAGTTCGTCCATCTTTGCATCCCTTGCCATTTTGGGGGGAAATGATGAACTGACACTTTCATCCTTGAGGGAAAGGAATGTGTAAACAGGTTTTCTTATGGGATAAATACTGAATTTTATTCAAGACAGAGCTCCGAAGGCAGGGTTTTTGGTAGGTGGCAGATTACAAAACCTGGGTGATAGTGTGATTCACCCGCCACAGTGGAAAACACCTCTCCAGACTTTTGGATTAGGTTTGGGATCCCATTCTTGGGAGTCAGGTGGTGGGGAACTGACACCCTTTGGCCTTCAGTGCTGTCATTGTCCTTCATCGGCTAGAGGGCCTCATGTACATGTCCGAGTAGGATTTGGGGTGTTAAGCCATGGCCTGGGAGCGCTTGAGCTCTGTTTCACAGTAACTGGGACTGGTGGTGCTAAAAAGGGTTTTCGTGCTTTTTCCATGGGTCTGGAAGGTGTAGTGTGGAATTTGGGGACATTTGGTGTTTTGTGAAGACTGAAAGACTGAATTTTAAATCTAAGTAGCTCTGTCTCCTGGCATGCCGTTTAGTTGTCCTTTGGAACATCTTCTCTTCTTGAGATTCAGGCCTCCTCTCCGACGGGGCTGGGTGTGAGGATCCCCACGGTGGCACTGCGCATGATGGAACTGTTTGACACAACCGTAGAGCAGCTGTACAGCATCTTCACTGTGAAAGAAGTCAGTAACTTGACATCGGGAGAACGTGTGCCACTAAGAACTGGAGCCGGTTTTTATTTTCCCACATAGCCATGTTTTTAATGATTCAAGAGACCTAGAATGGTGGCGATAGAGGTCTTTAGGGTAACTTCTAAAAAAAAATTTAAGGGGGTAAAGGATGGGCATTTTTAGGGAAATATATCCACATTTAGGGGATACAATACTGAGTTTTCTCCTTCAGAAGGGGAGAGAAAACTGTAAGTAAAAGCTACATATTCAGGATTAGAAAAAAACCCCAAAAAACTCCAAACCACAGCGATCATTTTAATACTTTGCCTTTAGGTTCAGAAGGTGATAGGGCATGAGGGAATAATGTCTCTTGTTATATTTTGCTTGGTTAGTTGGTGCAGAAATTTTCTAAATCTCCTGCTGTATTAGAAGCTGAAAAGGGAGGGAGATTCCAAATGTTTGATGGGAACATCACTGGTGAATACGTAGAATTGGTAAGTAATCTTTAGGGATAAAGAAAAGTAAGCTGGGATGGACTCTCCTGTTAATATTGCTTTTTAAAAATCTGTGCTGTTTTTAACTTGTTTTTTATCTTAGTGCACAGAAACTTGAGAACTTTATAAAGTTGGTTATAGTAAAAAGTTTATATTTGGTTGTAGAACAAATTAATGTTAACAAATACTAAGTAGTGATAAAGATGGAGCCTTACTTTGTCGCACAGTACTTGTACTGGTTTTAGAAGAAATATAATTCTTCGACTCTTAGTCTAGAAGTTTCACATCTCTGCCACCTAAATCACTAGGGTCTGTGTTGCCCAACGTCCACTGCCTCACCTTTGACGTCAGCCCAGTTTTGGCTTCCAGTGTCCCTGTACTTCTGTCCTTGATGTTACTGCCGTTAAAGACAGTGTAGCACCTAGAACAATGGATTCTTAGTGGTGCTGGTGTCTAACCTCAAAGATGGGACTGTATGTTTTCGTGGATTACCCTTAGTACCTCAGGAGTTTTAATGAAAGGATTTTCTGTGTTGTTAAGTATTGGAAGTTTTAAAAGATGTCTTAAGGGATCTCTCCTGTTTTTAGTTGACAAATAAAAAGATCGTCATGAAATGGAGATACAGGAACTGGCCAGAAGGTATGTTGGCAGTATCCTTTGTTACTAGGGTTGGGAAACACTCAAGATTTCTCCCCCTACCTCCACTGTAAAAAGCCAGTAGTAGTACTGTATGGATAGTTTTCATAATGCGATTAATAAGCTGCTTATTTTTCTTCTAGAACACTATGCGACAGTTGCACTGAATTTTGTGCCTGCTCCAGGGCAAACGGAATTGCAGTTGGACTGTAAAGGAGTTCCTGTCTGTAAAGAAGGCGGCATGAAATTCTGTTGGCAGAAACAGCATTTTGAAGAAATAAAAGGTTTACTGCAGCTGACCACCCTAAACGGTTGAATTAATTAGAAGATTTTATAAGGGCATTACTTTTTGTAAGCAGAGTATCAAGTTTACCTCTTCCCTATTAATCCTTTTAAAAAAGATGACACCTCTAATTTATACTGTATGAAATCCATGACTCTTACAGAATTCAAAGCATTGTTTGAATCTTTACTACAGCTGGAGTCTCACTGGGTTAAAAGTAGCAAGCAACCTGGAAATTAGGTGTTAACCTTATCTCCCATAGATGCGCCTCTGGGTACAGAGTTGAAGTTTCCCACTAAAGCTTGTCCTGGCAAGCCACTTTCAGCTGTAGTTTTAGTTCAGGAAGACAAAAAAAAAAAAAAAGAAAAGGCATGTCGATACTGTTCCTTTATTTTACTTCAGGGTTTTTAAGGTCTGTAGCTCTTAGCAGCCACGTTGCGTTCAGAAGCATGTTGCAGTGAGGTGCCTTGGGCCTCATCATCAGGCTGCTCCCTGTAGCGGTTATAGGATCCAGGTGGAGGACCGACAGGCTGCTGGGCAGCTTCCGTTCTGGACGCCGCCACCACTAAGGAAATAGAATATAACGGAGAAGTGCTTCCCTCCCGCTCACAGTGTCCTTGTTACTTTCATCTGACGAGACTAAAGCAATGTTAAATGTAAACAAATGAAAAGTCATCACAATCAGTTTAATTAAGTGCACAGAATAGCAATCAGTCATGTCAATAAAAATAAAACAATTATTTTTACATCAAGTGTGCTTTATTTCCTCCACAGGTATTCTGTTAAATAAAGCACCATTTATATACTGCCAGGCCACAGCTAAAGAGGATTCTTTACAGAATCAAATTTCTTGTGGTTGTTCCGTATACAAGTAAACTTAATTTTGATAATAAGAACCACAGCGATCGGAGGCGACCTGCCTCTATTATAAGGTACAAAACTGGCACAGAGGACACCATATTATACACAGTAAAAATGCTGTAAGTTTAAATTACATTGTACAGGGCCAGGGAACCCTGTTCCTCCCAGACAGCCATATTAAATGAAAGCCACTACAGTGAACTCTTAATTACATAAAACATATCCGTTATCTGATTGCCCTTTAGAAAGTATACTGAAGATGCAAATTTTTTCATCTGGAATTCTGCCTGACCAAGAATTAAGCCTATAAATCTATCTTGCCATTCAAGCAGAGAGCACTGGACAAACTGAAGCACAAAAACAGAAATAAGCAAAACTTATACAAACAGCTTTGGGGGTGGGGGGAGAAGGGACCTTAAAAGTAGACATGCTACATCTAATGTCAAGAAGCAGCTTGGTTTCCTTTGCCAGATATCCTTGTGACCACATGGATCGTAGATTCAATGGTCCTACACAGAGTATCTAAGATGTCGTGCTGCTGCATGTGACTAAAGAGTCCTCTGGAATGGCCACAACTGAGTGATAAAGCAGCCTCAGGGTCCTGGGAGGGCAAAGCTTGACCATCACAGCTTCTCAAATCAGCTAAGTCAGAGAGAACTGCAGAGATAGAAGTGGAAGGGAACTCAGACTCTTCCTCAGCTAGGTTAGAATCCTTGGTACATTGGAGGTCCTTAAATTCTTTACAGTCTTCAAATCTACCTTCATTGGACTGTTCTTCTGTATGCTGTGACCGGATACTTGACATGTCTTCAGAAAACGAAGATGGAACTTCCATTCGATATTCTTTAACAGAACTATTTTCAGGGGAAGGAAGATCTTGCTCGGTTCCTGGATCAATAATTGAAGAGTCTCTTGTCTCATTGTCTGAAGTGCTAGTTGGGGTCAGGACTTCCCTGGTTTCTGTTTTCATGTCGCTGATACAGCTGTCTACAGTGTGCTCCTCATCACTGCTAACACGCCTTCTTTTAACAGGAGTTGCCCCTTCATCATCTGTAAAAATGAACATGATTCTCTGAAAGGAGTCCTTGAGATCACACTGGGGAGGGCCTGGGGGCGAGGGGGTGCGTTTGTGGCAAGTTTTGCTTTTAGTATTTATATGTAAGAGACCTAACTGAATGGACAGCTAAAATAAAGTGAGTCACACCAAGTGTAGTCTTCCCCTCTCCCACCCCAAAAGTGTAATTAATAGTAGTCCATAAAGCTAACCTTTAGTTTTTCTTTCTTTGGCTTCTTGCTCTTGGAGTGAGTTTCTCTGCTGCAGACAAGTCCTGCATTTGCTTAAAAGCTCTTGCAGAGTTGGAATTAGAGCTGGGTTTAATTGCTTGGGAGTGTGTACTGACAGGAGCAAAGCAAGTGCACGCAGATCCTATAAAACCCAGACAGGAACTGGTCAAATTCTAAAGCTAACATTTCGACACAGCTGTTTACAGTTTAACTCATGTTTACTTTTCTGGGAATCCATTCTGGTTTCTTCTGCATTTTTAGAGAATGCTACAACTAGAAAGCCAGCATTAGGATATACTGTTTTTATTGGTTCAAAGTCACTAATAGCAATACTTTATGTATCATGCTGCTAATCAGGTCAGACTGAAGACTCCCAATAGTTTTCTGAACATGGAAGGGGGAAAAAAACCCAGAACTTTAGGAATTAAAAGGCCCTGAATTATCCATAAGAAATGAAGGCCTCAATCTAGAAATCAGTTTCTCAAATAGGCTGATTTCTGGTGAATGTCACAAATAGTAAAGTCTTACTTAGCCCTGCAACCTGTTCTGGCATCTAAGCAACATTTTGTTACTTGGAAAACTGCTGCTGGACATGCGCTAGCATCCCATTATTGTATAATCAGGGCATCCTGGAAATCTATAGAAGGCACCTAATTCCCGAGCTTTCATTAATCTGATTCTTTCAGTTATTTATGAGCCAGAGGCAATAACAGAAACATCACAAGTAGTGTTTTCAAAAAAAATGTAAATAGAGATAAAAGGAAACGTCTCCTCTTAATGGTCTTACTGCCCTTAGCATTTAATGACATTCGCTCATGTCTTCCAAGGTAATAGAAAGTGTACTACACAAATCAAAGACATAGTAAACACACATTTTTATGAATTTGGTTAGTTTTTCCAGAGTTTGAAGAAGTTATGGTAGTAAAATCATACTAAAGCCAAAGTTGATTTAAGGCAAGTTCTTAAGTACATGGCTATTCCCTCCTATAGTTCTTACCCCGTTTAAAGAAGCACTTGCTTTGGAAATTTCAACTCGGTTGGTGAAATCAGATTGCATATTTTGATACTGATTTATCAAGTTTGTAATTAGGGTGCTGATCAGATTGGCACAGTTTGCTTCAGAAAACACTTGACCTTGAACCTGAAAAAAAAAGATAAAAAAAAATCTCCAAAAGACCAACATAATGAAAACACAACCATTAACTAGGTAGAAGTAATACAATGAGTTCTGAAAGTAGGACGTACCTTTAGAAGGAAATGTGTCATGAATGTGTAGACAATGTTGTTGTTTAGGAAAGTTCTTTCATCCATCAGGATACACTTAATATATTCTGCAAAAACGGGATCTTCACACAAAAGCTTGATGCAGTTTTTTGACATAGCAGACTACAATAGGGGAGAAGAAGTACTGATGGTTGAGCACTGAAATAACTGCGAGGCTTACACGCTGCTTATGATGAACATCTGAAGTCATTTTAAGTCCTTTCAGAGACCACTTTAAACTCCAGTTACAGTAACTGTTCTCCCGATAAACTAAGTTTTAGTCACTTAGACTCTACATGTGAATATAAGAGGAAGAGACTTATATAATAAGTCTGAAGGGCCAAAAAGGAACAAAGAGGTTTCCGAAGAAATGCACCTTTATTATCTAGCATTAAATGAGGGACTAAAGACTGGACAAGTAAGACCAGCAAATAGGATGAGAATGTCTTCAGGGACCAATTAATGGAGAATAGGTAACCAAACTACATGTAGGAAAAGGACAAATTTTAAGAAATTTCCCAAAAGGAGTTAAAAATGTTAAGCAACAGTAATTTGTTTGGAAATATCCTTCCCACCCCCATGAATACTGCAAAGGTAAATAGCAAACCTCTTTTAATTACCTCACAAGAATTAGTGGGTCCCAATATGGAGATTTTACTAAAATCTGGTTTTCCTATTTTTAAATAGTCATGGCTCTTAAACACAAGTAGTGTTCTTTAAGTATATATAGTCTCTAGATTATAGGTATTTTAATAAAAGATCATTCATATGGGAGATAAAATGGAGTATCTGAAAAATAGGACAAAGTTTAGAAAATATGTACAGGTATATGCTTACTTTATTAGAGTAAGCAACTCCCAAGAATTCAGGAGTTGAAAAGGACTAGGACCCAGCTCTTCAGATACTTGGTGTCAGGAAAATCTACCTAATTCTACCAGCCAGTGCCTCTGCCTGCTTTCTATGTTTCTCGATGGCTGCTTCTACCACGCCGGCAGACTTTGGAAGCCTTGGACAGTTTGGCTTTGTTTTAAAGGAAGTTTTTGGAGATGGGGGATTCTTTGGAAAACAAGCCAATAAAGGGAGCAGTAAAATTCTGGAGTAGATAAAACAAGAGGGAAGCAAAACCAGTGGCAGAGTCCAGAAACCAAAAAAAGCGACTACCCAAATCAAGAATGGAATCAACCACTCAGCTAAAAAAAAACCTAGCAAGTTATTTTCTCAAAGTCTCCTATGTACTAAGCCATGTGATCGACGTAAATGAGCCTTTCAAAGATTTCTACCACAGAGAACAAAATGACATTTCTTTAGTGGATAGACAGGACTCCATTTCTACACTTGAAGAGCTCAGTTTGTGAGACAGAGATAGAGAAACTCCTGTTACAGCACCAACTGACACACATCCCCTAGGAGAATGAATAGAGCATTACAGCCCAGGCAGGAGGCTGTACCAGAGGCATAAAGTGTTTCAGATACTGTAATGTGGGTAAAGTGTAGGCCAAAGTAAACAAACTCGTCTCTTCCTCTGGGGATGGGCGGCTGCAACCAGGCAGGAAACCAATAGTTTTCTCAGGATCTAAATACGCCTGATCCAAGGAATGAGCCAAATCTTAGGACCAATCTGGTTTCTCCCCATCTCTCTGCCATTCTCCCCAACAATCAAGCATTATTTAGGTGCCCAGTAAAAAGAGTTGGCTCTTAGACACTTAAGGTAGGTAGGATATAGTGTTTCCTGTTCTGAGTGCTGGCAAAAAAAAAAAAAAAAAAAAAAAAAGTACATCAGACCCTTGAAAACTACTCCAAGGTAAGGGGTAAAGGACAGACTGCTGAAATGGTTTCTACTAGAGTTTTGACAAGGGTGGAGGGGAGAAAGATGGATGAGGGAAGCGAGGGAGAAGCAAGAAATGGCATAGGCCTTCTTCCCCCAAAACACCTCCCTGTTTTGGACTTTTACCACA